AAAGTGGAGAAGTTGAGAGACTCTGATGCCAGAAATGGTGAAGATATGACCTACCTAAGATGGAAATGCTGACTGAGAGTCAGTGGACCATATTATACAGAGGCAGCCTGTCACATATTCTTCACAGCCAATCTTGAGAGTTTTTAGACAATCACTATTTTTCTTTTTTTTTTTTAATCCTCTTTGGTCTGTGTAAGAACAGATTGTCCACACTGAACCCTTTCCTACTGAAAATAATGTACAAACATGATATCCTGTTCCTAGACAGCCCAAAGGTATTTCCTCCCCTCTTTCTCTTTCATAGTCATCTTTTTTGACTTGGATGAAATCAATCTATTGCTTGGCATACCTTATACACAAGTTAACAGTGTGCTAATAATTAACTAAATGTCTTTGAGTTACTGTTTGACAAACCTAGTACTCTGAGCCTGTGGGGTGATAGTAATTACCTACTTGAGAAGATGGAGTGAGGATTAAATGAAATAGAAAATATAAAATATTTGTCCTAGAAATGGTATGGATGCCAGTAAAATGGCTGCACAGCATTGCTCCCTGTTGACAGAAGTGTAGCCCCTGGAGATAAAACCTCCCGGTTTGATGCTCAGCTTGCCACCTATTAGCTGTGAGACTGATGCAAGTCATTAATCTCTCTGTGCCTCTTCTATATCTTGAGGATGATGGTAATAGCACCTACCTTCTAGATGTTTGTGATGATCAAAGACCTTTAATGCATAGAACACACTTTGAAGTGTGCCTGGTACATGGTAGGTACTCAGTTTTTGTGTGATGTTTGACAAGTTTCATTTATAACCTTCTTTATGCCCTAAAGGGAACTAAGGCAGCTTGTGACTGAAGACCTCAGTCGGTAGGAGTTGGTCTTTCTTAAATGATAGGAATTTCACAAGTGATATAAAAAGATTGCCAACGGATTCCTTTGCATTTACCTTGGTCCAACAGGTTGACAGAAAATGCATTATTTTTCCCACACTTGTACTTAATTAGCTCTCTAGGCGTATACCTAAGGACATAAGGAATGATAGCTATCACTTGTCTTGAAGCGTCCAGATTTCGAAGGGTGTGTAGATTCAGTACTTTGCAGTCCAACAGTCCTAAATTTAAAAGGTATTAAAAATTATTTAGCTTTTCCAAAATTTCACCCTGTGCAATCCTGGATGACTAAGCGTAAAATTAATTGGGCCAAATACACAGTTGCCTTTGACCTTGCCAGCAAGAAGTTCTAGGCTCTGACTAAATTCTTTGGACTCTGAAAATCAGCTTGACATATCTTCAAGTACTATGGGTTTATTATAAATTAGGAAAAAGTGAGTAAATTTGGAGAATCAACTACTTTCTTATTGTCCCACCTCAGTTCTGAGGAAGGAAAATGAAGCTTTGGTTTGCTCATTTAAAGACTTACATAACCTTATCATCCAATAAGCAATTTGTATAGTAATTAATGGAAAGAGTTGGTTTCATCTTGCTATGGGTATTCATGGTATTAGATCTCCCCAGCTGCAGGCTCCAAGGGATGAAGGAACAGAAATGATGGGACTTGTCTCATTCTATAAGGAGACTGATATACTTAGAGGAGGCAATACTGGGGTAAAACCTTGACTTCATCACTTATAGCTCTAAACTTGTCTTCTGACAAGATCGAGTTCTCCAACAGTAAAAGAATTGGCTTCAAAAGCAATAAGGAAGAAACTTTGTTCTCATTTTCTTTTCTCTCTCCTCTCCTCCCCTCCTCCCTTCTTTTCTTTTCTTTTTTCCTTTATTTTCTTTTCACTTCTTTTCCCCTACTATAATTGGCCCAAACTCAGCTGTAGGACAGGATATAAAAATATCAAAGATTAAAATGTGCCCGTTTTGGGACTCCCCTGGTGGTCCAGTGGTTAAGACTTCTCCTTCCAATACAGGGGGTGTCAGTTCAATCCCTGGACAGGGAGCTAAGATCCCACATGCCTCGTGGCCAAAGAAACAAAACATGACACAGAAGCAATATTGTAACAAATTCAATAAAGACTTTAAACAATGGTCCACATCAAAAAAAAAAAAAGAAAAGAAATCTTTAAAAAATGTGCCCCTTTTATTGTTAGATTTGCTTAAACAATTGAGGTGTTAGATGCTGGTCACTAGATTTTTAAACACATGCATTTGGGCTTTAATGCACTGAAATACATATATTTTTAAAAATTGAAATAAATAAACAAATACGATTGTGTGTTTAAGAATTCTACAGAGATGATGCAAGTTGTGAGATCTTGAATGGAAGAAAGGCTGCTAGCCTCAAAGGTGGGTCAAGGATACCCAGCAAGCATCAGGGTAAGCGCTTTTTGGAGGTTTTGGAAAGTGCTTGGCCTCCCTGACTCTAAGCATCAGAGACTGAGCCTGGCTCCATCGATTCTAGACATACATAATGCTGAGTGGATTGGAATTGTTTTTCCTATACACTTTTTTTATGTTTTTTTTTTAGAGCAGTTTTAGGTTTACAACAAAATTGAGAGGGAGGTACAGAGATTCCTCAAATACTCCCTACACCCATACACCCACACATGCATAGCCTTTCCCAATACCAGCATCACTCACCAGAATGGTACTTTTTTTTTTTTTTAAACCAAGGATGAACCTATATTGACACAGCATAATCACCCAAAGTCCATAGTTGACCTTAGGGTTCATTCTTGATGTTGTACATTCTATGAGTTTGGTCAAATGTATAATGACTTATATTCATTGTTATAATACCATACAGAATTTTTTACTGTCCTAAAATGATCGGAAATTTTAATAAGCTGGAAATGAGGGGAAGGGGCTGTGGGGTCTTTATCCTTCTAGCATGTGAGCTGGGGCATCATGGATGGTCTGGAATGGGTCTGAAAGAGCTGTATCTTCCTTTAGGATACTCCAAAGACCTGAAACACGGTTTGACGGACTCTTCCCCTGCCCACTGTTTGCGGCCTCTTTCTCTCATGTTCTGTACTGCAGCCAGATTTGCACACACTCTGCTTTTCCTGGTTTTCATCCTCCCATATATGCTGGACCTCGTCTTTGATATTTTCACCACAGAGGGAATGAAGACAGAGTTTTGGAATGGTCTGAGGAGGGGATTTCTGCCCTTTCTTCTCTGGTCCTAAGGACCACCTTCTGGTTCTTGTTCTTCCAGCTATCTTCAGTGACTGTCTCCTTGGAAAAGGACAAAGTCACTATCCTCTTGGAGCTTACATCTCAGCTGGGGAAGAGAGACAACAAACAATCGTTACTATGAGTAATTACATAGAATATGAGAAAGGAATAAATGTTATGGAAAGGGAAAATGGAAAACAGGAAAAGGGGGGATCAAGAGGGGTGGTAGATATAATATGCACATTAGCACTAATTAAAATGCTTAATATAACAAGAGTAGCTAACACTAGTGTAGCACTTAGTATGGGCCAGGTACTGTTCTGAGTGCTTTACACTATTAATTTATTCTCAGACAATAAAATGTTAGTTGGAAAGCACATACAAAACTCTTGGAGGAAGACCCAGCAATGAAGAAAAGAAGAGAAATCAAAGCCCTATTGGTTCTACCTTGAATACCTGTCCCTCTTTTTCTAGCACCGCCATCACTGCCCTCATTCTGGGCGTGAGCTGGTGAGAAGAGCTGTGCTTCCCTCCAGCACAGTCCTTCAATTTGGTGCATTTTCAACAGTGTTTAAGATAACACTTGCCACTTGCAATTGTTAAGGCTGCTACATCTGAAGCAACAGTGAGTTTGTTAAACTACTGGAACATCAGAGATCACACCATGAGTCAGCAGAGATGGTCAATGGTTTGTGTGGGAGACTGTGGCCTTCACCAGCTAAAGAGAGGACTGCTTCCCCTTTGCCCACCCGCCACTACCACCAGGATCTGCTTCCAGGCAGAGCTTTCTCAAAACTTAAATAACTATGTAACTGTGACTACATTTTTACAAGCACACACAAACCATGTAGCAAGAGCCTCTCTCTGTAAAGTGGAGTGACGGCCTGAGTGTAAGCTGTGTCAAGCGTGGCTTATAATTACGAGTATTCATATTACCCAAACGTGTGACCAATTTTCACAGAAACCCATATGTCCCCGCCCCACTAATGTGTCAGCCCACAGGTAGTAAAGAGGACTCCTTAGTAAGCAAACCCTGCATATACTTCCTTGCACTGAATTTGGACACCAAGAGAGCATAAAATTAGGTTTGCCTCTGCCTACCTGTGAAGAAGAGTTGGAAAAATGCATTTCAAAACAACCCAGGAAAGAGACTAAGCATTTATTTGGGTACATTTCCATTAGATGTTTGATTTGGTTTATTTGAAAGTGGGGAATGATTTCACCTGCCAGCAGCCCAGAGAGATGAGCATGTTAGAGAAGGGAGGCTTCTGGGAACTGTTAAAACTGCTTCATGTGGGAATAACAAGCTTGAACTCTTCAACCTGTCATCATGCAAGGGCCTTCCTCATCCTTCACAAGCGGTTCTACAAGGCTCACCCCCAAGCACCTCACCCTAGACAATCCCCACCACCTGGCCTTTGTCACTATGTCTCCTTTGTGAAAAGCCCTAATACCCTTTCCTCACCTGACAAATTCCTACCCGCCCTTCAAGACGTAGCCCAAATGTAAGTTATAGGACACTGACTAGATCATGCTCATCTTTTATTAACAAGGGCACGTAGACTCAAATGCTAGAGGGTGTGGTTTTACTGTAGAGGATGGTTCACCATCCAACAGCTGTGCCACCTGGGAAACTCAGTCTCTCTGAGCCTTAATTTCCTCATGTATAAAGCAGGGAGGACCATCATACGTACCTCAGAAGGTTGTTGCAAGATTAAATGCATTGGTATCTAAAGTGCTTAGAGCACTGCCTGGCACAGAACAAACACCAATGAACATTAGCCATCGCCATTATTACTGTTCTCAAAATCAGGTACAATATCAGATATTTGATGAATTATAGAAGTGAATTAATCAATCAATCTCTCTTTTTACAGGAGGAGCAAATGGGCTTTAGAAATGTATTTTCCCACCACTGGTCACTGCTGGACACTGTTGCATCTCACAAATAAGTCAATGAAAATGATACTAGAAGAAGATAAAAGGAGGTATTTTTAACAATCACGGAAGGATCAATAAGAACTTGGCTAAAACATTTATTTTGAGTATAAAAATATTAAATGATAATTGCAGAAATTTGTAAGAAGAGAAATATATAACAAAGAAAATTAAAATAAATCTTAGTATCTCTTTTCTATATGTATATATGAATATGAACATATATATGAGATCCATCTCTAATAAGTATATATCATATATAAAGCAAATTTAGGTATCATGCTACATATACACAGCTAATTTTCTAGGTAACATGGCTAGAAACGCACATTTTTTATAGATGTATGATTACTTATTGATTAGTCCTCTGTTACTGGCTATTTAGAAGGAGTTCCATTTTTATGCATTATAAATCATACAGATCACACTTCTTTTTACATAAATCTTTGTTTAAATATTTGATTATTTCCTTGGGACGGACTTCTAGAAGTAGAAATACTAAATCACAAGGTAAAACCATTTTTTAAGGCCCTTAATATATACGTTCATCAAATTGCCATTGAGAGGGACCATGCCAACTTATAACACCAACATAATACAATAATTCCTATTTTACAGCAGTCATATTTACTGAGAATATTTTTAAAACACTTAGATAGACCAAAAAAAATATTGAAATGTAATTTCCTTCATTATGAGTGAAGGTAGTTTTTTCCCCATATTTTTATTAGCCATGATCCCATAAGAAATAAACTGCTGCAAAACAATGAACAGGATTGCAACAGTTCCACGGGAAAGCACTCTGTAAAGAATAAGTAGGATCTTAGGTTAAGACCAAAAAAGGGAATATTTATCAGGTGCCTCCTTTGCCCAGGACTGTGTTGGAATAATGAACCATGTTTGGCTATGTGTAACTAAAGCTACTTTTATCTAGGTTGTCTCTAATAAGCCTCCTAACCATTCCATGAGAAAAGTACCTGCTATGGATTGATTTATGCCCACCCCTCCTCCAAAATTCATATGCTGAAGCCCTAACCCCCAATGTGACTATATTTGGAGACAGGGCTTTTGGGAGGTAATTTAGGCTACAGAGGTCATAGAGGTGGGGCCCTAGTCCAATAGGATTCACGGCCTTATAAGAAGAGAAAGAGAGAGCCATCACTCTCCTGGTGTGCATGCACTCATGAAAGGCCATGTAAGGACACAGCAAGAAGGCAGCCGTCTATAGGGTAGGAAAAGAGGTCTCACCAGAACCTGACCATGCTGGCACCCTGACCTCGGATTTCTAGACTCCAGAGCTATGAGGAAATAAATTTCTATTGTTTAAGCCATGCACTCTAGAGTATTTTGTTTGAGTTGCCTGAGCAGACTAAGTGTGAGATGGGAGAAGGAGAGCCTTTTGAAGCCAGACTTCTTGAAATCAAATCCCAGCCTTCCTGCTCACTAGCTCTAAGACTTTGGGCAAGTTGTGTGACTTTTCTGTGACTCAGTTTCCTCATCTATAAAATGATTTCATACATTTATTTTTTAAATTTTTTGAGGGGAAAATACTTGGGACAATGACTGGCACATATATATGGTGTATATGTGTGTGAGCTTGTTTTTATGGTATCTTTTCGAATTATAATGCAAAATATGAATCATGGTTTTTTCTCTGGATCTTAAATTATGGAATCTAAGAATTTTAGAAAACTAGCCAATTCTCTGTTACTTTTACAGCCATGAGTGATATGTTCTGTCAACCTGTAAATATAAGGATCAATCCACTCATACCCGACCCTAAGCCACTGACGTTTGATGGTACGACCTCTCAGGGATCACCGAGGTTCAGAGAAACCAAATACACGTTAAAACAGAGCCCTTGGTAAGATGAACCCGTAATCCCTCTAAGTAGAAAAGAATTTTCAAACTGAGGGTCACAATGTATTAGTAGGCTGTGAAATCAATCTCATGATTTGCAACCAGCATTTTTTAAAAAATAAAATAAACTAGATGAAAATATATCAGAATGCACTTAAGATAGTATTGTTTTCAGAATTTATGTTTCATATGTGTGTGTAAGTGCACATGTGAGCATGTATGTGAGACAGAGAGAGTGAAAGAGACTTTTCTACCTCACTTTGCAATCAGAAGTTTGAAAGTCTCATCATCTCATTTCCTCTTCAGAAGTATTTCAAATGTAGACTCTCTCTTTTCCCACACTCTCTCCTCAAATGAAGCTCTTGTCTTTCTTCTGAGACTATTACAACAGACTACCAACCTCTGACATTAGGCTTTCCACAATAATTGTTTATGTGAAAAATCGAAAATCAAGGCAACTACAACAAGCATACAAGAAGACAACTACTACAAAAACACACAAGCTCTCTCCTTAAAAGCCTCCAGTGGTTGCCCAGTCTGTAGAATGTCACCAAATTTCTCACGCAGGCATTTGCGGATCTTTGCAAGATGGTCCTTATGGGATTTTCCTTTGCTGAACCCTGGACTCTGGTCATATTACACCGTTCCCTCCACATCCTCCTGGAAGGCCAGGCCTTGAAACTCTTATACACCTCTGAGAAAGCTGAGTCCTAGAACAAGCCCAGAGAAACATCCTAGACATTATTCCAATAACTTTTCCCACAGCTCTGCAGGACACCTGCCAGCCCAGTCCTGTTAGAGATCTGGATCTGTTGTTTCCACTGAGCTCTTCAGACCAGGGTTCCTGCCTCATATTTTATAGTTAATTAAGTGCAGGGATTGTATCTGTTTCCTTACATATTCTTTTTGAGGGTGGAGGGTGAAGAGGGTGGGTGTGGGTATAGGGGTAAGGTTTGAACTAATGAAACCAGAAGCAAAACTCAGTTCAAGATGCCCTCTACAAGGCGGACCTGATTTTGGCCAAGCAGATATCATGTGTGAAATCCAGGTAATTTACTCCATGCTTGAGGGTCTGCTATCAAGCCTTAGGGACTGAGAAGTGGTTTTAGTCACAAGCAATCCACATGCCTGTAGATCATTGTTTATTAGATTGTTTGCCCAAATAAGGTGTTATCCTGAAGTTTTTTGACAATTCTAAAAGAATCTTCCAACTCTGCAGTGAGACATCTAAGATATCTGTGTTACTTCCCTCATATACATAAATAATTTTCAATAAAAATCAGGGCGTGAATAATTTATTTTCTCCACCAACTGAAAGCCAACCATTTGGAAGACCAGTTAGAAGAGATGAGATAAGTCATTCATTAAAAATCACTTTTATATTTACACGGAAAAGGGGAAGTTTTGTGCTTCCCTTTGAATTTTGTTGAAAATCGAGGGCTTTATTGAACAGTTTTGGCATGCAGGGTCATTTTTCATTAAAAGGCAAAAAGGCATCTGAAATCTGTATCTCCATGGTTTATTCAGCAGTGGAACCTGGGCGATTCCGTGCAGAGGGTATTCGAGGCATTCAACTTTTGGCAGGGAAACAAACACAAATGCTCCTTCCCCAAGGGGCGGGGGCGGTGCCTGAGCGACGCACCAATCACAGCGCGCCCTGCCCTATATAAGGCCCTGAGGCCCGTTCAGTAGTTTATGCTATTTGCTAGGTGGTACGTATTGCTCTACTCTAATGTAATGTCTGAGATGGTGCCCGTTGCTTTAGCGGACCGGGTTCCACCGTCCATGGAGAAACCTCCCCCCCAAAAAAGGGGCAAGAAGCCGGTTGGTTTGACGGGTGAAAGTCGCAAGACCACAAGCGCCTCATTGTCCAAGTTGATCATCGAGGCCCTTTCCATTTCTCAAGAGAGAGCTGGCATGTCTGTGGTAGCGCTGAAAAAGGCGCTAGCAGCCGTGGGCTATGACGTGGAGAAGAACAACAGCCGCATCAAGCTGGGTCTCAAGAGCCTGGTTAGCAAAGGAATTCTGGTGCAGACCAGGGGTACCGGTGCTTCCGGCTCTTTCAAGCTCAGCAAGAAGGTTGCTGCTGAGCCCCCCAAGGGAAAGGTCAAGAAGCCTGCTTCTACCAAGACGAAGAAGCATGTCTTGGCCGGAGACTCCAAATCTCCGCAGAAAGCTAAGACCAACAAAAGAGCAAAGGCGCCGAGGACAACAATGGCTGAGAAAGCAGGTTCGAGTGGCAGAAAAGCTAAAGGCGCCAAGGGCAAGCAACAACGGCAAAGTCCAGCGAAGGCCAGAGCAGGGAAGCCCAAGGCTGGGAATTCTAAACTGACCCAGCTGAAGACTAATCCTAGGAAAGCAACAACCAAGAAGTAACATTTCGGCAACGGCCAGTTTTCATAGAACCCAACGGCTCTTTTAAGAGCCACTCAAATGATTTTGAGGGTGTAACATTGCGTGTTCAGAAGACCCCGGAAGAAAAGACTATTCGTCAACTTTATCGCTTGACAATGAGCAAGATTGTGATTTCGTGAGAGTGTCTTGTCAGACAAACGGTACAGCCTCTGAAGAGCTTCGGATACTCAATGGTACGCTGACTGCCCAGTTCCAGAAAGTTAGGTTGTCCATCCTAATAAAAACAAGGCACATTCCTTGTATGTAAGTTCCTAAATGCTTAGAGAAGTGCTGGATTTTAAGTCGAGAGAGGAGAGATCAGCTCCGTGCCCAACCATACCTGACCATGTTTTTTCACCTAATGATACTCTAGTATATGATTTAACGTGCCTTTCCATGTAAGATTTCTGAACTCAGTCTCCATGGACTTTACAGGGGTTAATATACAGAAACCAAGGTCTCAGTTTGGATTAGTGAGAAGTTTACCTCTCGTTAAACAGATTTCTTTCCACTATGATTCGTTGCGTAAATCACAGATGTTTCCGTTTTACATCTGCAAGAATATTGAAATGCCTTTCACCTTCATTAGTTTGCAAGTAGTTACCAGATGACTTTATATATTAAGCACATACTGTTACATTAAAATTTGGTTTGATAATATCATTAGTCTTAATATAATTGTTCTCTATTTATGAAGAGAATGATCGGCTTGTTCAGGTTGTGCTACACAGGCTGAAAAACTTTAACTCTAAAACGTGTGGAGATGTTGGAGGTTCAAATATTAGGGTGTGACCTTTAAATCACAAACCTGCTTGTACTAGGAAACGCTTAGGGTCGGAGTTAAAGCATCTTTTCCGCTTTAAACAGTTTAGTTTGTTTTCACTTAGTTTGTAATTTAGCGTTCTTAAAGATCCTCGTAAAATAAATTTATACTGTTAATCTTATTTGGGCCTTGGTATTGGGGGCGACTTCGAACAAAGCCCATTGCAAAACTACGTAATTAATGCAGTCACACATACAAACATGTTCTATATCCTGTCTGAATTCATTTGTATAATCGGGCCACAGAAAAAAAAATTAATTGTATCCTATATGGAAAACGACTAAATACAATGGTTTCAATTTGTACAGAATCAGCCACAGCCCTGCTTTGCTTGGATAAGGTGGCCATTGTTTCCCTCTGAGGTTGGAGTTGGGATAGTGCAGGAAAATTCTTCACTTGCTGGACAAGGCAGTGAGCTACTTCTCTGTGTCCAGCAGTGGACTGACCCCAGACTATCACCGCAAAGAGAAAGGAGGAACAACTGGCTTCATCCCGCCCAGAAGCCAGCCGACCTCCCGGCACTACTCCAACCTGTGTAGAAGCGGCTCGGCCACTCTGCGCCTTTGTTCCTCGGGCCCATTAGCGCCTGGATTGCATCGGATTAAAAAGTTAACCAATGAACGTTTTCCCTTAAGTTCCGGGTACCGGTATGAAACCCCTTGTTTTGGCCAATAGGAAAACAGCCTTGTAACACCACCCTCCGCAATTAAACAGTGGTTTCTTCGCCACACTGAGAACCAGCCAATGAAAGCTTGTCCCCAAAGAGCCTTCATTTGCATAGCTCTGTGTTGTGTGGGCGATACTGTGAACTTTTGTGCCATGGATGCCTCCAGCCGTCCACTTAAGGACAGCTCTAATATTTCCAGATTTCTCTCATGGGTCCAATCTTATACATCACTTCGCGTTTCACCGTTTCTGAAAGCCTACTTTCTTCATAAAGACCCAAATTTCTTAACAGTGAAGCGCAAGGCCCTAAGTATTTAGTTACATAACTGCTGTGTTAATATAGCTTCCGACCATACTTCGCATGTTAAATTAGCTCTGACATTTGCCTTTCACACACCTCCGCAACGTCCAACAGCCCTTCAGCGAGTTTGTGGGCGGCCCTGAAAAGGGCCTTTTTGGTTTTTTTTAGAAAATGTCGAAGTCTGTCTCGGCCGATGCCGTGATCAACCACCGAAGCCGTAAAGGGTGCGGCCCTGGCGTTTGAGGGCGTAAACCACGTCCATGGCGGTGACAGTCTTCCGCTTGGCGTGCTCAGTGTAGGTAACAGCGTCCCGAATCACATTCTCCAAAAACACTTTCAACACCCCGCGAGTCTCCTCATAAATTAGCCCAGAAATGCGCTTGACACCACCACGGCGGGCCAGGCGACGAATAGCTGGCTTGGTGATGCCCTGGATGTTGTCCCGTAAGACCTTGCGGTGACGCTTAGCGCCGCCTTTGCCGAGGCCTTTGCCACCCTTTCCGCGACCAGACATGGTTGCTGTCACAGTAACTTTTTGAACTTAGCACTGCTCTTTAAATAGCATTCTTGCGGACCTGATTGAAAACGAGAGCCCTGGGGGATTTTCCAAACTAGGTCATCAAGGGGTGGGGCAAGGAGGGGCTTATTAACATTTCAATGTTTTGATTGGTCGGAATACCTCGCTCTTCGTCTGACGGGCCGTAATGTGAGGTGGCCTTCAATCAGCTGAAGAGCTTTAGTTTCTCTTTTGCCCTGCGCGTTTTCAAGTTGAGTATATTCAGCTCAAGGACACGGAGCAAAGAGCTTCACTCCACATTTCCTTTTGTTAACTTGGTAACTAATGTTAGATAGTGGTTCCTTGGGGAAGGTAAAAATAATGTGTAAAGGAAGATAGAGTTATAGGTCAAGGGACTTTCCTTTTCAGTCCTTTTAATGTTTCAATTTTAAAGGACGCATTTTGATGGGGTGAAGTTTAAGCCTGGCCACGAAGAGGCTCTCGTCCTAAAAGACCTGTGTTTGGAAAGACAGAAAGGTAGACAAACGACTGCAAATTAAAACTTCTTCCTTTTCTTCTCTTCCTCAATTCAAACATGTACTGGGTGACTCCTTTTTCTGCAAATGCATATGAGAGAAGGAATTTAAAACTAGGCTTGGGTAATCAGTTACCTCTGGACCCTCTTCCTGGCCTTCTGCGCCTGATTGGCCTGCAGTTCCTAAAAGCTCCTTTCCTTCTTTCATTAATCCTTTCTCAACCTTCTCTAGTTTTAGAGACAAGAACATACGTTTGTTTTGTAGAGTCCAGGATTAATAGTAAGATAGGGCTAATACTTGATTAAGGTCATTACAAAGCCTACAGGGCCCTCCCCTGGGAGGTCTATGATGAGATTATGGGTGTTTTGAACAGGTTAATCCCATTTTTGTTTTCATTCTTTTTTTAAAAAAAAAAGCCGAATAGAACAGAACTGGATCTGAATATGGTTTGAAGAGAAGGATTTCTCAAATCAAAAAGTTTCTCTGGCTTCCTGACAACTTTAAAAAATTTCCACAGTAAGAGTCACTCTAGTTAAATTGAAAAAAAAAAAAGACACCCCTCCCCCCCATCCTGGTTAATAAATAAATGTCTGTTGGGGAGATTTAGAATGAGATTATGGTCTGAGAGAGACCTCATATAATAACCTCAGACTTAGGTAAAAAGGGAGAAGAGACCCAAAGATGGAGACAAAAGACCCAGGAGAGGGCAGGAAAGCTCTGAATGACATACGGTTTGTATCACTTCTGAAATAATTAGATGGTTATATTCTTCTGCCCCAAAGTGAGTGTTTTTAGGCTCCTGACTTTCACTACCCTTTCCCACCACAAACATGCACCTTATAAGCAGAGACTTAGCTAGGAAGAAATGCCATTCATTACAGAGGAAAAGTGCAAGGTCAGTGTTCACAGGTAAACATGAAATCTCAACATGCTTTTTAATTCATGAAAATAAATTTAAAATAATGTGTATGACATGGTTCTTTTTTTCTTATTCCCTTCTCCTAATTTCTTCTTTTCTAATTTTTTCTCAATGACATTGACTCAAAAATCATGAATGTCAAAACAGAAATATTTAAGAGGTATACAATTATAGATTTATATTAAAAATGGATTCTTCCACTCTAGGAAGAGTTCAGGTATTCCTTGGTCCTGTAGCTTGGGAAAGGGTGGGTCACCCTGGAACTCTCATTCTCAGAGTGATCCTGGCTTCACAGAGCCCCATTCATGTGAGTGAGGCTCTTCAAGTAAAAACCCTGCAAACAAGTTGTGGCTAAATGGACACATGAAATATTCACACAAATAAAACTGTGATGTTAAACAAAAGTCTTCTAAAAATATAAAATGCCCAGAACCACTCTCCACAAACTAACTCAATCAGAATATCAACGTTGAGGAATATGTATATATATATATATATATATATATATATATATATAGTATATGTACACATATCATCCCATGGAATACATATGTATTCAAAAGACAATTCCGATACTTAGCCAGGGTTGAAAACTACCAGAATATACCAACACTTTTCAGTGTACAGTTGTACTTTAGGAAAAAGAAATCCCAGGGTAGAAATACTTTTGAGCAATATTATAGTTGCAGAAATACATAAGTACAATCTCGCCCCACTTAGCCTGACAGGGATTTATAACATGACAGTAGTTAGCTCTGGGCATTTGGGGACACCAATCCTGGTCTGGGGCAGACAGCTCTTCTGACCCCTGGCTGATTTATCTCCTTCCCATCTAAGTCTTTAATGCATTTCTCTTTTTCAGCCACCTAATCTTTACTTTGGTATGATCTATTTTCTTATTCATTTTTCCTGAATTAAACTGTCATTCCCACTGGCATGTTTTTGGTTCCATAACATACATATACTGTGTCTCTCCATATTTTTCTCATTTCCTCTCCTTATCCTTCTAGGAAAACGTTCCTGCTTTTTCTCCTTATTTTATTTTATTTTTTAATTTTGGCTGTGCCATGCAGCTTGCGGGATCTCAGTTCCCCATCCAGGGATTGAACCCGGGCCACAGCAGTGAAAGTGCCGAATCCTGACCCCTAGACCACCAGGGAACTCCCTGCTTTTTCTCTTTAGTTCAAACTCTTTTACTAAAAGTTTTTGGCACTTACACTTTCTAGGCCTGCTGTCCTTGTGTGGGTTTTCTCCCTTAAATATTCGTAATACATTTTGACCTACTAAAGAAAATGTTATTTGGAAAGAGAATTTCTAACAGTATACTTTCTTAAACATTTGCTTCAAAATTTTTATAAACATGTTTGTAGTTAAATTTGATTCTCAAAGTTCCATTGAATACTTCCTTAATCACACACACAAAGCCCAAAGAAAGGATTTTGCATTTGTTTTAATGGTGAAAACGGAACACAAAAGTACACAAAGCAAAGATCATTAACTGTTACATCCATGTTTAAAACAGGTGCTTTCTTGCACACATAGCGAAGCTCCTTTGGCAGTATCCAAGTTGCTTGCTGACTATCTTATGAAAATGCCATTGTGGTCACTCTGTTTACAGAATAAGATCCAGGATATTTCATCAACTCATAGGGTAACGTTAACTGACAAGACTTTCACTGAAGTTTATGCAAATATTGGTATTATCCTCACCTCCCCCTCCACACACAAATGCACTGAAGGCTCCAAAATTCTATTTTAGAATGTTTGGGTCAAAAGCCAGAATTTATTTTTTTTACTTAATTACATTATTTACAATACTTTCTATGCAAATCTGGTGAAAAATGATTCACAGGTGCTTCAATGCTACCCATCCCATAATACCTCCCTGAATGATAAATAGAATTAATAAAAATGTGAATTTGATAGTTAGAATTTTGTGTGTGAACAGAAAAAAGAATTCCCAAATGTTTCAAATATTTATGAAATAATTATAGAGTATATTCTGAAATGTTAAAACAGGTTCTCTCCTCACTCAGGAAATAATCAGAGGTGCTGCCACTAGGCAGCAGAATGGATACTCAAAGGAGCATCCTAAAAAGATGGAACAATGCCAACCACACGTTTTCTTGATTCAGAGAGAGGGATTGTGTAGTGGCTATGAAGATGAGCCAGGCTAGCTGGGAAAAAAAATCAATACAATCATTTTCCAGCTGTGTAACCTTCAGCAAGTTAACCAACCCCTCTGTGCCTTGGTTTCCATACAGCAAAATAAGGGTAGCAGAATAACAAGAGTTTCTACCTCACAGGATTCTTCCGAAGAATTAAATTAATATTTAGAACAGGGCCTGGCATCTAGTAAGTACTTGATAATTATTAGCTGAAAAAAAAATTAGTTTTAGAAAACATTTAAGCCTAAGAAGACTTTTCTGAGAATGAAAATTCATTCAGCCAAGAAATAGAAGCTACAGAAGCATCTGCTTAAAACACATCATATGTATCTCTCACACATGAGTAAACACCTTAGAGAGTTACTCAGAATCAGCATATGTGAGATACCAGCATGCATGCCAGGCCAAGTAATAAATGCACGCAGGATGTCAAGGCAACACAGGCTTTTTAATCAAATTGTCACATGAAATGATTTAACATTGTATTCATATTCTACATGTTAATCACTGATTCCAAAAGGGAGAAGAAAATATGATGACCCAAAGTCCACAGAAAGAAATCAAAATTAAAAATATCACTCCACGCATGTGAAAATCTCCCATGGTTAAAGTCATGCATTTTTAAATTCTAGTTATTATTAGAGTGTGTAGCTTATAAGAACCTTGCAGCATTTTAGAGAAGGTCTTTTGTTTATAAGTGTGTGTGTGTACCTGAAGAATGTATCAAGTACACGGTACTCTAAGACTATATTATTATAACTTAAGCCGAAGTTTTGCCTGTACCGCCCAGCAGCCTTAACCAACTGCTGGCAGGTTGCCTCAAAGATCAGCAGGTTTGTTCGTTTTCCTTCTGTTCTGTTCCCAGTTCAGGTAGCTCAACAGTCCCCTGTGATTCCAGAGATTCAAATAGCTGGTGAATAGTTTCAGCTTTGCTCTCTCAAATTTTCAGGGGCTTTTCTCCAAAAGTGATCCCCAGCGCCCCACCCCTTGTTTATTCTTTTCCCCTGAGGGACCCCCTCCCCCCACCCCATAGTCGAAAGACCACTGTGACATTTTTGGCCACCAGATGGCGCGCTTCTCCTTACTACCACCCTTGTAAGTGCTTTTGCCAGAGGCAAAATAACAGATTTTTAAATGTACAGATTTTTAAATCTGACTTTTCAAATGTAGTTGACCTTAAGAATTGATGAACAAGGCTAGAAAAATTAAGCTAAGAAACACTGAAAGAAAATGGAGATTTATAACTACGGTTATTAAAAAAAATTAGCAGGCCACAGTTGCCGACTGTTAATAAATGTGTATTACTGTGAAGAGTAGAATGTTTAATGAGGTAGGAAGCTTAGTATGAGCCAGGAAGCTTTTTGGCAGTCTGCGTTGAGTATAGGTTGATGTTTAAGGAGAAAGAATTTATCAGTGTGCTTCCACCATGGTTTGGAGGTAAAATGACCAATGTGTTACAGCTTAGATGGTAATGTGTCTAGTGTGAAGAAAAACAATTAATTCAGATACCATGGTTTAATGAAAATATTTCATGAAACAAAACATTAAAAAATTAGAAGCAGTATAAATGTCCCCAAAATAACATAATGATTAAGTCGATTAAGTCTATACATAAGATGGACAAATACATCAGGAAAACCATGCAGTACACAACACAATGAATTATGCATTTATTAAAATATATGTATCTACTAATTTTATATATTTTAATATAGCAATAATAGTGATAGGAAATATGCAAATTTTTAATAGACTTTATTACTGGCTAATGGAATAATAGTTTCAATTTAATTCATTTTCAACTTTTCTGTACTAAGCACAAATCCTATATACTTTTATCCACTTAACTTTGGGAACTGCAAAAAAAGAAAAGTTTAAAAAAATAGTTGAGATCTCTTTGCCCAAGTTCAATATCTACCAAACAAACTTTTGAGCTGTATTTGGTCTGAGGCAGCTGCCCTCCAGGACAGAAAGCCTTGTTCACAGTTATGCTGCCAAATACACGTGGTAGCACAAAGTAAACACAAGTTTTCTGCGTGTATATATTAGTACTCTTTTGAATATGGTCAAATTATTTTCCCAGAATCGGCTAATTCCTGAGTGACCTGATTAGATTAATTTTTTTGAACGTGCACGGCTGGGGATGAGAACCAGACTCTCAAGGACCCCAGGAAGATGCTGGGGTCAGCATCTTGGTGCTGACCAAGGCCACTCGGTGGCTTCTAGTTTTCCATTTTAATATGAGAGAAGTTGCTCCAGTTTTTGGAGGGAAACGCCTCCACCCTGGTGGTCCTGATTGGAGCAGGACACTGTGAGGTCCAACACAGTAACTAACTGACACCCCCAATCACAGTCCCATGAGTGATGCCAGATAGAGCTGGCCAGTGGTGGCAACAGGGGTCACATTCCAGGGTTCTTCCCTCAGGGACTTTGAAAGGAAACATGGCTGATATTGTTTTCTGCTGTTTTTTCCCTTCATTTGGGCCAAACTCACTGAGAATACAGACAATGAGACAAGAGAAGAGCGATCTCCACAGCCATCTCCTTTCCTCCCCATTTACTCCAGGCATCTAACCAACTGAATGCAGCGTCAAAGAGCTGGATCAAAGAGCCAGGTTGGGGATTCCCTGGTGGCGCAGTGGTTGAGAGTCCCCCTGCCAATGCAGGGGACGCGGGTTCGTGCCCCGGTCCGGGAAGATCCCACATGCCGCGGTGTGGCTGGGCCCGTGAGCCACGGCTGCTGAGCCTGCGCGTCCGGAGCCTGTGCTCCGCGACAGGAGAGGCCAAAACAGTGAGAGGCCCGCCTACCGCAAAAAAAAAAAAACAAAAAAAACCAATTTCACTTTCTTCATCTTAAAAAAAAAAAAAGAGGATAATAGTACTTACAGCAAAGAACTATTGAGATAATGTATGTAAGTAGGCACTCAGAACTAAGTCTGGCACCAAGGAAGAGCTTCATAAATAAGTGTCAGCCACATTTTCATTATCATCATCATCTTGATTCTCATTTTCATTGTCAGAACAAGGAGAGGGTGTGAGCAGAGATCAAACCCTGTGCTACTTCAAGTCTGGCATTGTGAGTGCGGGTGTCATTAACCTAAGGAAACCTACATGGCACCTTTGTGCAAATTAGAAAAAGACATTCCCTCCTCAAGACACTTCCCACCCATTTTCGGGAAGACTATCATAAAACGCACAAACATCCATGATGCCTCTTCTGGGAAAGGTGCCTCCTCGGGTTGTGCAGTGCACAACCTTCACACTGTACCCCTCTGATGGAAGAGACCACGGGGCTTGGAAACAGGTGAGTTCTTGTATAATAGAGAGAGGGTTAAAAGGAAACTTGAGTGGGTCCAGGAAACGCCTGGATGTGTGTGTCAAATGCTGGTAGGGGTATTAGAGTGTATGTCCCGAGGAGAAGGTTCAAAGCTATTCTCAGATGTTTAAAGGAATCACAAGTCCCCCCAAATTTAAGGACACTCATTCCACCGTTAGGAGATGAGATGACATAGGTGTATGGAGTCTGAGGTGATGCAGGAAATGGAGGCAGGCTCTAGATGCAGCTTGGGATTCAGGAGAGCCAGTTCTCGGGTAGAGGTCACAACTAGGGCCCTTTAAGAAGCAGGAACTCAGAAACCTAGATGGGGAACTTTTTGACAGTGAACGGGCAAGGCTAAGAGCAGAGAGTTCCTGAGACAGTTCCTATTTCTTAGGTCCAGCTGTCCGGAAACATGAAGAACGCCTCAAGTGCACCCTCTCTTTCCTCACAAGGAGTCTGCAGGCTGCACTTCATTCACATTCGGCTAAGACATAGTCCCCTGCGGCTCCTCCTGTAAAGACAAGATCCAGGAAAGAGGCATCACAGGCCTACGATCCTCTTGCCTCCTCCCCTCCCCGGCCACGCATGTCAACTCTTGTCACCCCCTTCCCAAGGAACTCCTGGATTTCAGGCACCATTATCTCTCATCTGGAATTGCTGAATAGCTTCCTAACTGGTCTCCTTGTCTCCCATCTCACCTCCTAACAACTCACTCTCCATATCGAGGAGACTGGGTTCCTCCTTGCTTACTTAAGTCCCTGCATTAATCGCCGCCCCTCCAGTGCTCATAACATAACATCTCAAAGGCCCCCAGGGCTCTACAGGAGTTGGCTTCTGTCTGCCCCTCTTTCCCCTGCACCAGCAATGTTCAGGGAGTAGAAATGCAGACTGAAAAGTACGTAAAGTCAAGGGTCAAACTGATAATAATTTCTCACCTCCCAGCATGCCTCACACTCTCCCACTTGCACAGTTGCTACATCTGCATTGACTTCCCCTAGTCCTCAACCTCACCTAAAGAAATCCTACTTCTTCAAGATCCAGAAGCCTTTCTTGATCCCCAGATGAACGTGGTCATCCCTTCCCTTGACACCCCAGAGCATGTGCTTCATATCTGCCTTAGGATCTTTGGGGGTCTTTAACGGCATTTACCTGTCATGGATTTCATTCCTTACTAGACCTGGGTTCTGAGATAGCAAAGGTGACTTAACCTCAAAGCACCCGCACTACTTAAAACAGCACCTTGCAAAATAACAGGCATTCAAAAGATGTCTGTTGAATTAGGAGCTTTCATTCTGAGGGAAATCATTAATTCCTGCTCCCAGGGAGATGCCAGGGCTCCCAGAGAAAGACAGATGAGAAGGCTTCTCGTGGATGCCAACTCCCCTTTGCCCTCCCCCTGCCGCACTCCCTGCAGGAGGGTTAGTGTGTCCTGGGGTCAGAGATGCTAAGAGGCTTCCTCCTTCTTCCTACTCACTGGAAGCCTGCCTTCTCCTCAAGATTCTGAACAAAATTCCAATAAGGAAGAGGATGATACAGACAGCAATTCCACTGATGACTCCAGTGACCAGGGTGCCAGACAGCGAGGGCTCTAAAATAGCAAAAGCAAGTGAAAGCCCATGATCACTGCCCCATCCCAGAGCCAACCCTCCCCTCACTGCCCTGTTGACCACTCCCATCCCACCCACACCAGGTTTTCTCAGCCCCTGGCTCTCATCCATACCCCAGGTGGCAGTGAGGGGCTGATCCAGGCCTGGGTGCTGCACCTGGCAGCTGTATCTCTGCTCTTCCCCAGGGAGCACAGCCAAAGCCACCCAGCCCTGGTAGGTTCCATCCCCGTTGGGCAGCACGTCCTCAGGCTCAACGTCCTTGGCATCCAGTGGCTGCCTGTCCTTCAACCACCTCATGGTGATGTCCTGGGGGTAGAAGTTCAGAGCCTGACACCGTAGAGTGGTCACTGCAGAGGCCACGTGATGAGTCACTTTCACCAAAGGAAGCGCTGAACAGGAAGGAGGGAGGATCTGGAGGGGGGATTCCTACCCATGCCAGGAAGACCAGAACTTTCACTTCACTTTCTCTATGGCTTGGAGGAAGGAGTTTCCCTGTGCAGACAGAGCAAGTTGTAGGAGAGACAAACCATTTTGTGCCCCAACACGTGTTCCAAGATTGGGTTCTGATGTGGTGTCACATGGAGAATAGTCACAGTCATATCAGCCTGTTCTCCGGTCCCACATGTAAATATGCATACTTGTTGCCCATGTCTTATGTTCTTTGTTAAGATATTAAGTTGAATCAGATGAAATTGCCCCTATGAGGCTCAAAAGTGATTGAATACGTACTACTGGTAATTTCACCTGGTTCAACCCAGTAATTATTCTTGTAAAAAGGGGCCTTGTAAGATAGGCAGCCTACGTGACTACTACCATGTTCTGTGAACGTAACCTTTACCCCCCAAGATTCTGCTACTCTGACCGGTTGCCTCCTTGGTATTCATTTCTTGCCTTGGTATTCATGTGATAATTGGCATCTCTGAATTCCTAAGAGTTATAAATATACATAGCGTTCTTGGTTAAATCAAGAGAAAAATCACAGTTACTTCCTCTTTAGCTACGTGCCTGGGAAAAAAATGAAAACCATGACTCATGGCTGGATGATACATCTCAATTGTAAGGCGGAGACCTCAGAGCTGGAGACCTCGGGGTGGAAAACTCGGACCTCGTTACCTTCACAGAGAGTCACACAACCTCGACCATCTCTGAAAACCCAGCCGGGGATCCCATGCCCTGCATCCCCCTCCCGTCCATCCGTGAAGAGAGGGGCAGAGGGTGCTCCCGCCATACCTTGCCGGTCCAGGGCCCCTCTCCCCAGCTCCAGCAAGCGCTGCAGCTGCTCAGGGCAGCCCCTCCCGAGGTAGGCTCTGTTCTGCTTGGCCCGAATCTTGTTCACTTCCCACTCCAGCTTGGTGGTCCGAGCCCTGGGCTCTGCTGCTTTCCAATCCAGCGTCTCAGGACGGAATTCAAGATGGTCCTGCCCATCGTACCCATACTTCCAGAACCCTCTGGTGCTGTTGTCCTCATGCACTTCACAGCCCAGGATCACCTGCAGGGTGTGGGACTCTGGCAGCACTCCCAGCTTCGTTACTGAAACCAAAGGAGCAGGCCCCTGTTTTCGCCATTACGGGAACCCAGTGACCTCAGGAATCAAACTCCTGCCCTCTTCCCTGTCCCCCGATCTCAAATAGCCAGTCGTCTCCCTCAAGATGCATCCCTGAGGCGGGGACATACTCCGCCCACCTCGGGAAGGCGAGGCGTGCTCGCCACATACCCTTGCTCTGGTTGTGGTTGTCCATGATGGTCCAGAAATCCACGATGAACATGTGATCCCAGCCTTTCAGGCTCTGGCTCAGCTGCAGCCACAGCTGGCTGGTGGCCCTGCCCCAGAGCCACGGGGCACGAGGCTCTGCACGGCGACTCTCGTGATCGTAGGACACGAACAGCTGGTCGTCCACGTAGCCCAAGGCCTCAAACAGGGGCAGCCCAAGGTCTGGCTCGGAGGCACCCATGAAGAGGAAGCGCAGGGAGTGTGACCCTGGGGAGAGGGCGACAGGCCTTCTCTGTGAGCTGCCTGGGGAACTGGGAGGCAGGCCTTCTGAATCAACTGGTACCAGCTGTGTCTGGTCCCACCCCGTGAAAGTGACATGCGGTTCCTGCCTTCCCTCCGCATGCCTCTCCCGTCTGCTCTCCCCTTGTGCCCGTCTGCCACGTGTGCCTGCCACCCCATTGCAGGCCCCGGCCTCTGCCCCAGTAGTCACAGTTATAGCAGCCTCCCTTGGATCCAACAGACTCTAGAAAATCCCAAGGTGTGTCTAGCTAGGGCAGTTGAGCTCGAGAGTTAGTGCTCAGAGCCAATTAGATCCAAGTCCAGAGGAGTTATTGTTTTTTTCACTACTTCCATGTCTAAATGCTTTACAGTGTACAGACAGGCTTCGTTTTATTGCACTCTGCAGCTAATGTGTTTTTTACAAATTGAAGGTTTGTGGCAACCCCGTGCCAAGCAAGTCTATCAGCACCACTTTTCCAACAGCCTTTGCTCACTTTACGTCTCTGCGCCACATTTTGGTAATTCTCCCAAGATTTCCAGCTTTTTCATTGTTATTATATTTGTTATGGTGATCTGTGATCAGTGATCTTTGATGTTACTATTATAAAAAGATTTTGCCTCTCTGAAGGCTCACATGATGGTTAACGTTTCTCAGCAATAAAGTACTTTTAAATTAAGGTATGTATGTTGTTTTTTTAAGACAATGCTATTGCACGCTTAATAGAATACAGTGTAGTAAACATAATTTGAATATGTACTGGGAAGCCAAAAACTTCATGTGAGTAGCTTTACTGTGACATTCCCTTTACTGTGATGGTCTGAAACCGAACCCGCAATATCTCTGAGGTCTGCCTGTAAATGTTTGCTGTCAAATGCTGGAAGATGTGCTGATAAACAGCTCAGGGCAGCTTTTCAGCTGCAAAACTGTTCCCAATCAAATGCAAATAGAGAAAAACTCCAGTAAGCCCAAGAGGACAGACTTCTGGGCAATGAGAGCTTCCTTACACCTCCCCTCAATTCTAGAATGAGGGAGTTCAGGGATGTATCCGCAATGCCTAGAACAGTGTCTGGCATGTAGGACGTGCTTAATACACACTTGTGGGGTGACTAAATGCTGACTTCTAGATTTTTGTCTCTGGCCGTGAACTCTAGACTCTTACACTCCAACTGCCTACATGATACCACCAGTTGGATGACTCACTGGAATCTCAAACTTGAACAAGTCCAAAACCAGGCTCCTGGTTTCCCCCAAACTGCTCTTTCTTCCGCCTTCACCATCTCAGAAATGGCATCACCTATGCCCCTGTTGCTCAGACCGATAAAATAAAAATAAAAGAAAATAATAACAGAGGCACCTTCGACTTTGTCTGTCATGTGATCCTTCATAGATCCCTCAGCAACTTCTTTCAAAATAGATCCAGAATACAACCGTTTCTCGCCACCACTTCTGCTCCCACCGGCCCAGTCCATCAACTCCTGCCTGTCTGCTTGTGCTGTTTTTATCGCTGCCCCCTTCACGATGCGTTCCACAGAGCAGCTGGAGCAATCTTTTCAACAGCTGTGCTTGATCACATCACTGCGGGTCTGGAATCCACACTGTAGCCTGTGAGGCCCCAGGAGACTCGCCCACAGCTCCTCCGCTGAGCCCATTGCCTGTTCTAGGCCTCCAGCCCCTGCGCTCCTGCTGCAGCGGCGCCCTTGCTCTTTCTTCAACCAGGACATTTCGTCTCTTAAGGGACATTTGGCAATGTCTGGGCACATTTTCTGTTGTCACAACTGGGGAGTGTACTAACATCCAGTGAGTGAAGGACAGGGATGCTGCTAAACATCCTACAATGCACACGACGGTCCCCACAACAAAAAAAAGTCAGTAGTGCTGAGGTTGCAAATCCTTGCCATGTCTCCCCAGCCTGTCCGGGAAGCGCTACTCCCAGGCAGCATCACCTCTATTTCGTTCGGGTATCTGTTCAAACCCAGCCAGGGAGAGTGGTCTGCCCTGATCTCTGTGCTTCACACGCCTTCAGGGCACCCATTACCTGATGCTCTCTATCCTTTTGTGTATTGTCATCCCCGTCTACTTGAATACAAAGCACCAGAGGACTAGGCTCCCTGCTCTCTCCTGGGTCTAGAACAGCGTAACACATGGGTGGTGCTCCTTCAGTACTTGTGAACAGTGAAGACTTGTGTCCAACAAATGTTATGATTCAACCTCCAACGCAGTGTGACTTTTAAGAATCGCAGCTATGAAGCGGAGACATGGGCTCAAAAGCCCTGAGTAACATTGAACAAAGTCACCACCTGTGAGCAAGTCTTATCTCATTCTCGTCATCTATAAAGTGTGGATACACATACTAGCTACCCTCCAAGTGTGGTTCTGAGGCTACATGACAAAGTATGAAGCATCCAGAGCTGTGCCAGACAACAGTAAGGGCGAACACTGTCAGCTAAGATTAGAACCAGTGGTACTTCATTTAGTGTCAGAAAACCAGATTGCCTGAATTCTTTGTAACCTGGGGAAAGGATTTAACCTGAGGTCGTTAACCACGAGTAAAATCAACATACGAATAGCTCCTACCTCCCAAATGCATAGTAGAGTCAAACAGGATCACAGATCTGAAGGCGATTTAAAACTGAGGTCATTACTTACATGTTAATTACCATCCCTTTGGCATCCTTTAGTAAAGGCCGGTTAATTATACAATACTATTAACACTGCAAATCAACAACTCCGGGCTGAAAAGGAGAACTGTGCGATTCAGTTCAAAAGTTCAAAAACAGCAGATATGTTATTTTTCCAGGCAAAAGAACAATCACCAAGAGTCAGTCAGTCCCTAGGCCGACCTCTGTCAAGAACCTCCCACCCACAGCGCCAGTGGTTCTGAAATGGAAACCCAGCTGGGTCCGCCGTGCGTTCGCTCGTCCCAAAGTCTCCCAACCCTTAGAGCGCCCGGGAAAGGAAACACCGAGGGGGCGCTCCGGCCGAGGTCGCCCTTGGTGAAAAGAACTTCCTGTTTGGGGATGATCGGGGGTAAAACGACACAACCACCAGTAGAAACAAGAATACCGAGATCCGAGTCCAAGGACCCCTAATCCTTGGCCTCGATGAGAAAAGGTTTATACCTAGAAACGTCACGCTCGGAGGAGGGAGTGGGTGGTTCCGAGTGTAACTCCATAGCAGCAGGGACAGCGAGCGGGCCGGGGGTGGGCGTGGAGGTCTTGGGGCGAGAGGCCCCGTAACCCCATCTGCACCCCAGTGACCCACGTCCCCTCCGGGGAAAGTTGGGGGAGGGGACCGTGCACAGGGCTGAGCAGTCGTTCCGAGCTTAGCGAACTCCCAATCGCTAAGAAAAGCTAGTTTCGATTTTTCCTCCCCCCACCCCCCGCTCCCCTCTCTGGCCTGCAGCCCCCGGACTCACGCGGCGGTCGCCCCTGCGTGGCCACCGTCCGCAGGAGAATCAGGAGGAGAAGCGCCGGCCGGGCTCGCAGGCCCATTTCGCCGGCTCCGACCGTCCGTCCTGGCGTTTTTCAGCCGCTTGGGTAGGGCCGGGAAACGGGGGTGGCCCAAGAAGTCACCCTGGAGCCATTGCCGAGGCTCCGGGGATCCCAGATGAAACTTCCTGGCCAGTGGGATCCTTTTCCGGGGCCACTGGCGAAAAGAAATGGGTCTCCTGCACTTGAACTCTCCTGCAATCCAGAGTACCTGCTTGGGAAACACTCGGTGACCCAGCTCTCCTTCTGGTTTTTAAACCCAGGGAGGATGTTGCTGACTGGGGAAAGTATATTTAACGATTTTCTGATCTAAATATTTAAATATTGAATAACTTGAAAAATTAATTATACATTTTGAAAAATTTTAAGTTCAACTTTCCAATCCTGATGTTTTTGCATAAAAATTTATTTTATTCTTTGATCAGAATTAGTTAAATCATAAGATTAACAGATTAGATCCTATCTACCGAAACATCTTTCACAATTTATGTAGTTAAATTATATTTCACAAACTACTGCACATTGGAATCACCCGGAGAATCGTTAAACCTATTGATGCCCTGCTATAGCCCCCAGACATTCTGATTTAATTGCTGTATGGTGCCACCAAAGCAACGGGATTTTAAATACCCCTCTTCCCCCCAACACACACAACAAGGTTTGAGAACTACTCTCTGAGAAATTTCAAAAGGATATTAGTGTCTGATTTTCCTGAAACCTTTAAGTGCCTAATAAATATAATAAGTGATACCTTTTAAAGCATGTATGCAAATTTTGGCCATCTCAGAAAAAATCAGCGTTGGAAATTAAGGCCTCTTAACTATGCGGGGATATGAAATCGGGTGGGGAAGATGCTGACTATTGCTGATGAGCACATGGGGGTTGATTGTACAATTACTTTTTTTTTTCTTGGTAACAGCTTTATGGAGATATAATTCACGTACATACAATTCACCCATTTAAAGTATAAAATTCCACGGCTTTAGTATATTCATAAAGGTGAGCAACCATACCACAGTCAATTTTAGAACATTTGTCATCCCCTCCACAATGAAACATTTTAGTACCGTTTAGTCATCATTTCCAAATTCCACCATCCTCCCTCCCTCTCCCCTTACTCAGTCACTAAGCTGCTGCTAAAAAACATAATTCAGCAAAGTAAATTTTAAAGATTGAATTGGTTTTATTGAATGATTCATGAGTCAGGCAGCATACCATCTAGCAAGCAGAGGTGAGCTCCAAAGAGCTACAAAAAGGGAAAGATTTAACGGTACTTTGGCCTTACTCCAGTTTCTCTGAACCTCAGTTTGCTCATCTGTGAAATGGGGAAAATAATTTCTGATCACCAAATGATACTCTTTGTGAATGACCTCTTGCAGCTGTTAACAGATATGGACACCCCTAGAAGGTAATAATTACAGACTGGCAGGTTAGGAATGAACTGTATGTTGTACGTTTTTGTTTAGAGTGCCATCAGAACTAACGAGATGCCATGGTATAAATGTCTCTATCATTTGGGAAGAGTTTGGGACCATTGCGATGACTATTTTTGTCAATTGTTATCTTTCAGCTCTTCCAAAAGCCTTAGAAATTTTAAGGGAGAAAACATCCTCGATATTTAATATCTTCTAATGAAAACTGTCGTATATGTATTTTTCATTACCGATGAGAAGAACAGCAAAGTCTACTCTTGCTCACTTTAGTATAATCAGAGTTTTTGTAAACTACCCTATTGTATCTCATTTCTGATGAGTATATATGTGTGCTTTAAAGGCATATGAATTATAATCAGTCTTCAAGGGAAAGTTATACTGCAAAGCCACTGAAACTCTCCGTCTCAACTTTCTCATTTGCAAAGATGTGATAATAACAGCTACTTCATAAAATGATTTTTAGAATTAAGTGAAAAAGAATAAAAATGGATAAATGAAGCCTTCAACAAGTGCCTGGCAAATAAACAAGGCTAAACCATGTTTATTATTAGTACATATTCTAATATCATACTAATATTATCAATGACATTTTTTATCTGAGGATGCTGCTCCCTACCAGGTGATAGGTCAGCATCCTCTTACAGAGTGCCTGTACTGTGGTTATCTCACTATCAAAATAATAATAATTTAAAAAGATAAAACATATGCAGTCTCTTTAGGTCTTTGGGGTTCTTATGCCTAATTTGCTACTCACATTTAAGACACAGTTGAAGTGGCTTCTGCACAAGACTGTTTCTACCCCCATGATTTGGTAAAATTGTCCGTATCCTCCTTTAGTCTCTACTCCACATTATACTGCCAGATGTAAAACATTTCTGTCCATTCTCTTTCCATGCCTTTTCCCCTTACTCTAAACTGTATGCACTTCGAGGGTAGTTATCTGTGCTTCTCCTCCTTATGAATTGCTTGAGGAGGTGAATGAATCAACCATGGGTTTCTTGTCCATTTGACAATTTATTTCTCTTTATAAAGATTATTGACTCCAAAGGTCCCGGTAGCCAGCTTGGTACTTGACTGCCCTGGGCCTTTACTCCAGTCTCACGGCTTCTCAATACTGTCACTGTCAACTGTAGGTAATTAGCATTTCTGTCCATCAAAAGACTATATATGAATGAGTTTTGAAATCTTCTGGGTAATATGTCAACCCAGAGTTAATGATTGATAACTTAGCCCGGGCACAAGGAGCATCAGCTGTCCACCAAGGACAGTGTTAATTTGGAGCGCCATCTAGTGCCTATTGGTGCCAACGACATCCTACGTTGTAAATGCCTTTGGGCAGGGAAGGGTTGAAGCCAAAACAAACCCATTTATTAAATTGTTCATTGGACTTTTACACAACCTACACTTCAGTGCAGTCTACTTCTTGGGGCTTTGTTTGGAGCGTGTGTGTTACAATGAAGGTGCTGGGTTGATCTTAGGCACATTGCAAAGTCACAAACCCTTTAAATCTTTTTATCCGTATTAGCACATAGTGTGTAGTAAATTTGCTATTACTATCACCATTGTCATAATTGATATACCTTAACCAAGACAGTACCAGTGTTGTTATCTTTGCACAATAGTGTTTTCTTCTGTCATCTTCCTCCTCACTGTGGTCATTTTTACTTTAAGAAAGGAAAGAAAAGTAATTTAGTATTTTAAAAGTTGCCTTTGTAAGACTATGGCTAACCTCCACGCCTGGGGAAAGTCGACTGTTTCCTCCTTTTTATGTCCACTCTGACCTTTTCCACAGCCATTATTCCATATCTTTTTCTAGGTCCTCATCCTCCAAATTCCACCATAAGGGTAGAGCCTGTCTTATTTACTTCCTTATTCCCTAAACCCAGAGGGGATTATCGAAGGTGCAGATTAATTTTTTGTGGAATGAAATAATTATCCAGCATGATATTTCTGGACTACTTAGACAACTGTCAGTCCAAGCCACTTAATCTGTTCCTCCCTTGCTCTTGCCTGCCTATAGACTTGCTGAAGTCTCAGGGCTTCACAGTGGTGTCAGGATCACCATCTGTCAAACGGGAATAAAAATTTCTGTTCACCAAAAGAGACAGAAAAGTGTTAAGTTATAACTAAAGGTTAAATATTACATAAGGGCCTGGAGAGACTGTAACATGCCAGCCGCCAAAATGATCTTTGGTTGGTTGGGATCGCCATCTAGTGTCCATCAGAACAGACAGCAAGATGTGTTATAAACACCTTTGATTCTGCCGGAAGGGTATGATATTCATGCAGAATTGTTTGCAGGGGTGAAAACGCTTTCTGCCTACAACTCATTAAACAGACTAGTAAGTAATTAATAGTTATGGGAGTATTTTAATTTTATAATAGAAAAACAAAGGTCTTTGACTTTAGTTCAGTTGATTTGTGTGTGTGTGTGTGTGTGTGTGTGTGTGTGTTCAGGGCACATGAATTGTAATCAGTCTGCAGGGCTCTCCTAGGAGAAATCTGAATTCTCAATCTCCATTTCCTTATTGGTGAAGTACTACTGCTTGTGATGGTAGTCATAGGCTGGTGGTGAAGACAGAATGAAAATAGTGCATATAATGGCTGGTGCATAGAAAGTGTTCAGTTAACTGTTATCTTTATTAGTATTATTGACACTCTTAAACCAACAATTACAGAATGGTGTTGTGTTTATAAGAATGTATGTATAACTTTTAAAATAATTTTTAAAATATGTATATAAAAATTTGTACTTACAACATGGCAGGTACTATTCTTAGAACTATATAAACATTAACTCATTAATTCTCATAGCAACCTGTAAAACAAGTACAACTATTGCCACTTTATAGATGAGAAAACCGAGGCATAGAGGAGGTGATAAAATTATCTAATGGCAAAGTTGAGTTTGAACTCAGGCATTCCAGCTTCTGAGCCAGTCCTTTTGATAAATATACGATGCCACATCTGTATTTTTCCTGGACTATTTTATAAAATTAAGAGGAAAATATAAGTGCTACTATCATTAACCATGAAAAGTATAAGAAATCTATGTATTAACTGAAGCATAGCTACAAATTCTTAGGTAAGCTAACATTGTAAGAATCTGGTCCCAACCAGAAATTGTGTTTAACTTAAGAAGGTTAAGGTGAGTTCAGTAGTA